GATAAGGTGGAGTTGGAGGCAAACCGGGAAGCGAAGACCTCTGCTTTATCGTGGGGATCACAAACAAGAGTACCCGAGGAATTGCAAATGAGAGGACATTTTGAAGGGCAGAAATTGACGTGAAACTGCTTTAGCGATGGACTAGAATGTTTGGTTACTGGTTGTGGAAGAAGCCAAGCGCGCAGCTTTGTGACGAATGAAGCGTTTTTTAGCTCTCTGAATAGTGACCGAGCAATAGTTTCTGGCTTGCACGAAGCGGTTGCGGGATGCTGGATTGGGTAAGTGGCACCAACGACGGCATGCTGAGTTTTATAACGTACAGCACGGTTGCAAGCATGATTAAACCACTCAGGGGATCATGAGGGTATGAAAACCCTAACCGGGACACTGGGTCGCATAGGTCCCGTTAAGCTCCCTGGATCCCGAGATCATGGTCACCGGCGGTTACAGACAGAACGATATGGCTGGGTGTCGCAAACAGTGGCGCTCATGCATGGTTAATGGTTGTAACAGCTTAACTGAACTGATATAAACGAAACTATCATGGAGGTGAAGCTTCGGAAGTTCAACTATACACTATACATTACCATAGACTGATCGTTAGATCAGTTGTAAATTTTCGATCTCTTTACCCGTTTGCCGAAGCTTTACTCGAACCTGCGTTGAAGTTAGTGGTTTGACATAAACCGAAGTCATTTTGAATAGTGTTTATGTGTGAACATTTGGTGAGCAGTGTTCATGAAAATCGACAGATTTGCATACCACCTTCATATGAGTTTTGTCATTGTTTTACCTTATGGTTCATAAAGAGCACTGAAAAGACGTGAATTCTTTGTTGGGACTCGTCAATGTACTTAATTGTTTGTACGGTGAGCGGATACAGGAAGTTTCTTCTCAAGATGAGTGAAAAAATCGTGTGATTAGCCATGAGATGGCAAAGACAACTTACCCCATCGATAAGTTTATCACATGCATCAAAAGGTTTTTAAACAAAATCATTCAAAACATACCTGTTAGTGCTAAATTTTATCGGGATAGATTCTAAGTCTCCACAAACACGATGAAGTCGTTTCCATTTTAATCAATGTGATACACAACAGTGGATGACAAAATTTTGAAGTCAGTCACAAATTGAAGGATACTATTTCACGGATGAGCCAGTTTTTAAAGTTTGGTATGCACGGAGTCATCCACAAACTTCTGTGAGGATATTTTTATCGCAACTATAGCTAGGTGAGAATGATAAAGTATTTACCGTAGGTCAACTAATAACACTACCTGCTGAAGTTCATCACGAAAGAGTGGCGCTATGGTAACCGCAACGTTGATTAAGGTAGCGGAAACTGATTAAATCGGGGAAGTAATCACCGACGAAAAGATTAATTCTGACCATGGATATCGAAGCCAACGGACTCCTAGCTTTTTTCGTAGGAGGCTGTTTGCTGACCATGAACTCGGAGTACAAACTGAGAATATGGTGATTAGAATAGGACTTAAGAGGTCAATAAATTATGGCTACCCAACTGTCGAAACGGGACAAGGCCTTCCTTAATTAGGAACTGTAAGACTAGACTCAAAACGGTACATAACATGAAGGCTAGGTAGCACATCCCACGATTTCCAAGTCAAAACAGTGAAACAACCACATGATCGCCAGAACAAGTCAATTATTTGAATACTTGAGTTTATTCGTTAACTTTTGATGTAATTTTCCTTTTTATCTATTGTCAACGCATTTTAATAAGAGTCCATATAAGTTTTCTAGTAAAGAACAACATACCTTGTCCTTTGGTTTCAATGCGTTCCGTCGGAAGAACGCCTTGCAGCTTTCACATGTCAGCCTGTCAAAGTTATATCCTGAGGCTGGCTCACCACACACAATGCAAATTCTTTCTTCGTCACTAATACCTGCTTTACGTCTCCTGGTCCGAACAACACTATTGAGAACACAATCACGACTGGAATTTTGAGTAGCATCAGAATAAGTTGATGAGCAATGGTAGTTAGGAACAACAAATCCATCTGCGGATTGCATGAAGTAGGCACGAGTTGGATCAAAGGAATCCATAGATGGTGTATTTCTCAGAGAAATTGAGGGCGTCGAGTGCTTAAATTCAGTTTGTGTAATGGAGCCAGTCCGTGTATGAGAAGTAGTTGTGCCTAAGGAGGAGCACGAACGTGAATTATAGAGAAAATCCCGATTCCCGCCGATGTTTTGGTTCGTATCCGAAGCGTGATATTTATTCGTGCTGGAATCCATATACAACAACCGGAGGGCGGAGACCAACGGCCCAAAACGTAGACGCACACCGAAAGTACAGCTCGGCAAAGGTTCAGTTCAGTTCAGTTCAGTTCCAGGACGTTGACGGAGGTGTGCCAGTTAGTTCAGTTTCCTGCAGCGGTGGGCTCCAGGGATCCCCCGATGCTACGACAGATGGAAGAGGGAGATGACTTCTTGCGGTACGTTGGCGCGCGGTTGAAATTTTTGTCGTGCTCGGATTCGCTTATCGTGTCGATCGTAAAAGTAAAGTGCAATTGTCATAAGTTGTCACT